GCAGCCACTGTATTCACAATATTTTGGCTTTATTTTTGCACAGTGGAGGGAAGTGGTAAGGCCATAACCATCATATACATGTCAATGGTACACAAACTACTTGGATTTAGGAACAAAAACTACTTGGTTAAGTGAAAACACACATTTCATCCTGGAGGTGTACTAGCCATCCACCCCAACCTCCTCTAGATACAAATTTTGTGGCTTTATATCAAGTCAACTAATTTCCTCCTTTGTCATAATTGCTTGCTGGAGGTCACCAAACTATAATATGTATATAACTGTTTAAATAATCTGCTCCCACCAACAATGTAGTTATTTTCTACAGGAGGGCAGTTTCTTCTTACATATGTCAAAATGAGATATGCACAGCTCTTCTGTTGTGTTTGTGACAAAGTAGCTGCTCAATTTTTTTTTACCGCGCACAGAATTCTGGGAACTGTAGTATTAAAACAAACTTGCAGATACAATTCAGTAACCACTTCTAAAATCTTAATGACTATAATGTGATGTTTTGCTGACCTCCGTGCTAAGTGGACTGTTGCATCATGTCAACTTACTTCCTTTGTTGCTGCTGGCCAAATTACTATGGTAACCAGAAGGCTTTGTCACATGAACAGAGGAGGACAGTCTCCACTACTGATATGGCACTGGTCTAGTGGGGTGTCTGGAGACCCTCCTCTAAAAGCCGATCCTATAGGTATTCCATACAGGTGGTTCATAACATTTTATTGATAGGTGACCTCTAGTGGCCATAGTAATTATGATGGGAGCAAAACAGAAATTCGGGTTTTGGAGCATAAAGTGCAACAGAGTCCACAGAGGGATTAGATCAGGGTGGATGGATGGGTTGACAAAACACAGGAGGCTGCTGTTCATTTTTTGTTTCAAACCATGACTGCTGCACAACCTTAACTGCATGTTTATTATTGTAGCCATGACTGTGACTAATGAAACACTTATTTTAACCTAAACCATGATCCTTCACCAACCCTAACCAAGTTATCTTTTTTGTGCCCCAACCTAACCAAAACATGACCATTCCATAACCTTAATTACATGTTTGTTACTGTAACTATGACAACAATGGTCTGGCACGCAGGCTCACTGCATTCAATTACTGCCACAATGAGCCAGTTTCTCTGCAGGAACCATGAGCGTTTCATCTTAAGTAAATGTTTCTCCTGAGATATTTGGTGATCACTTCAGCATGTTGACACTGACTACAATCACAGTCCAGTATGTTTCAATTTAATTCTCATTCTCTCTTAGAACAACTCACAGAAGAAAAAAAACTCCAGCCTAATTCTTTAAAAAAACAAATTGTATTTGTGGCCCTTTTCCTAAGCAAACAAGTGTTTTTCCTCTGCTGCTAAACTGCTAAGAGTTTAGTTTTTTTGTCTTTTGGATTTTTCCAGCACTACACCAGCTATAGAAGCACTGCAGTACAGCTAACAAGTATTTCACAAAGTGTGCTACACTTTGTGAAATACTTGACAGCAATGTTCTAAACTGTGAATATATCAAACGGCTGCCACAAACAGTCAGGTAGCAAAGCATTCTCTTGGTGACAGTGGGATTAGTGCTGCAGGTTTTCTCTCAGGTCCCAAGGAGTCAGGCTCCAGTTTGAGTAACTGGATTACAGGCCTTTTTCTCATTTCAAAGGGTTGTGAACTCAACAGAGGTCTTGCATGATGAAATCAAAGTGGCAGCTGAAATACAAAGGACAAAAACAACAGTTTTGCAAAAGCCTCCTGGCATCGGCCAAGCAGCTAACGAGAAAGATGCAAAATCAATGATCTTTGCTTCGCCGTGTTACTGGCATCTCCTTCAAATGGCATGAATTTAGGGAGGGATCGCCAAATGAGGGTGAGGAAGACAGCATCATCTAGAGAAGTGAAATAATTTATAATACCAAAACACATTCCAAGTAAAAATCACAAGGAAACGACTAACAGCAACATACTTCATTTATAACTGCTTTTAAACAAATGTACGCCTAAGCTGTGGCAGGAGCACAGCGGGGACTCAAGGTTGAGCCCATTCAATCAAATAGCCTGCGGTAACTTTAGGGGATTATTTCCAAATCCTTTCAAATGAACTTTCCATCTCAGTGCCTCCTCCTCCGTCTCAGCCATTCCAAATGTCCAACCATTTTGACATCACTTTCTACACAACCTCGCATGGAGCCAAGGCCAAAACAAATGCCTGTGAGAAATATAATCAGTGCACATCAGGAGTAACAAGCTCACTTCAAGGCCTGAGAAGGTCATAAATTACAAATATAACTGGGTTTTATCAATGTGAAAATAAGACGCAAGGAGCTTATTTGTATATTCATATGATCTTATTGTCTTTGTTTCGACAAATGTGCAAACATTTTACCTTAGACCTTATAAAGACTAATCACAACATACATGTGCAGACTTCAAGCCCTTAGAGAACACACCGACATAGCAAAGCATTTCAATGGTTTTGTGTTTGAGGATCATTATTTTAGTAAAAAGAAATTCTAAATATGTTCCACATAGGATTTACATTTACTTCTGCATGAAAAACCCCCAACTGATGCCAGGACTTAACTGGAAACACTGCAAGGAAAAGCGGGGCTAAGGTCAAATATCCCGTGCTGTCAAGAGTAATAAAGAAGTCATATAACTATATTCAGGATGAAAGCTTATTTTATTTAACTTAGACTGCTGAATAAATGTATAGGAGAGAAGCCAAAAGTTAAGAAAGGAAAAGTCATTTTGTGAATAGTAGTATTAAATATGCAAGGTCTAAAATAGATTTAGTAACAAGCAGCAACCAAGCATTGAACCTCCATCATCAGCAATCAAGAGAACTACACCTCTGGAAACACACTGTGATATGATATGCATGGGGTGAAGGGGTGAACTGATCTGCATGGGGTGAAGTGTGGGCCGTTTTGTTCAAGAGGCCAAAGAACCAGAGCCTGGAAGTGAAGTGAACTCCCTGAAGCAAAGCTGATGGCTGAGATACCTTACCCTCACTCAAAGAGCTGGAACACAAACAGCCACAGTTTGTAAATTAAACCCAGAACTACACGCACACTCATACACACTATCCTTTGTCTAAATAAGAGAGGAGGGCATGTTAACTGCAGCTGGCTTCAAAATCAGCTGTGATAACTTCACATTTCTGAAGCACTTCTTATGGCTGCATCACTTATTTAATGCAACTTAAAAAAATGTTAAAATGTACCTTTGTAAGCTCAACACTATCAAATGTATTCAAGCATTCATTGTACACAGCTTCCATTTTACGACAAGCAGGCCAGTTGTGAGTTTTTTTTTTTTTTGCACTTCACTCATCCGTTCACACACTGTGCATTATTATAACCTAATCAATGCATGCTGCGCTTTTTCTAAGTACTGAAACTGTCTGAACAAATGCAGGAGGAAAGAGGGGGAGGAGAAGGAGGTGGCTGGGCTACAGAACTATTCTACTGCAGGAAACCTTCATGCATGGCAGACTGCATACTGACACTGCAAGAAACTTCCAAAGTATTTTATTTAGAAGCCAAACTTATTAAGAGGATATGGGGATCTTTCTTAAATTAGCATGCCAACAGAATACTCACTTTGGACATAAAAACACATGGGGATATTAAATGTTTTGAATTTTGGATCAAGGTTGTTTCCCTCATTTTGTAAATTTCTTGATGTTCTAAAATGCAGGTGGAAATGATAATTCAACAAAAATACGGAGGATGTTAACATCCCTTGCTACACCTATCGTGTCTTCTTTTTCTTGTTTTCTTGCAACAGCAGATCGTTCCCACATGCTTCCCTGCCGTTCGGCTCTCCAGAGGTGTCAAGCCAGCCTCAAAGAATGAAGTGCCTCCCTTTTGTGCTACCCAACTATTATGTGCTTAACATTTCCATGACAAAGATGCCACTCGACTTCTCCTCCATCCATTCAGCTGGAGGGCCCTTGTTCCCCCTCTAATAAAACATTTTGCAGCAAATCATCGTTTTAAAGCCCCTGAAGCTGACCAAAGAGAGGGATGGCATGATCTGCAACCTCTTCTGAAACCAGTACTAGTAATAATAATATGAATAACTGCATACATTAGTATTTAAATAAAACTAAATAAATACATCCTGGAACATACTGTGTGTAATTTCAACCAATTAAAAAATATTATATACATTCCTACAGGATTAAAATATATCACCACAATGAATGGCAGGTCTGTAGACAAACAGCTAGATCCAACTCACCTGTGTCTGATACTGACACTGACACTGAGACTGGGGAGGGTGTTGGGGGGGGTTGTTGATTTACGGTGACAGTTGCTTTTAACAACAGCCAGCTAAATCAAGACATCGTGGGTCACTGGGCTATAAGTCAACAGGGGAAGCTGGCCTGGATTTTAAAAGAGCGTGCAGTGTCGTTCAAACTGGAATGTAAAGGTTAAATGTTTGTTAAACAGCTGTATTTGGTGCAGTGATGAAGCAAAAAGAGACCGGATATCACAAAAACACCTCCGAAACAAAAAATAATGTTCCTTTAAATTAGTAGGAAACAGGATTTATATAGGCCTGCAGTTTAATACCGACACAAGCAGCATAATCAAATACTGCAAATCAGTCTGTTATGGAACAAATAAGTTGCTTTTACTCTTAAGGTTCACAGCTCACAGGTTGAATAGAATTTTATGATATAGCTGTGTGTATACACACGTATCAGGTTTACATGATTTTTTATTACCTAACTGAAATCCTTGCATAAACCAAGTTAATCATTTCTGCCTACTGACATATTGCATGGCCAGTGATAAGTAACCTGACTGGATAACAAACTAAATTTACTTTTGCTTATTACAGCACAACATCACGTGTCTACTGTTTACAAAAAGTAAAATAGGTTCTTTGAGCAACAAAGCGCATTTTAAAACTTTGATCCATTTTATGTTCAATCTGAATTAAGGCACAACACAATCACCCAATAACTCAGTCAAAATGATATTGTCAAGTTTCCTTTATGCCTTTTTAATAAAAGTATATCATTAAGGCAATCATACAGTGGATTTAGACACTTCTCTAGGCTATACACAGTGAATAAATCATCTCATAGCCTACAACATAAAGGATTCTCTGAAAAACATCTCTAGGCTATACACATATATACAACAAACATTATGTTTGAAGAGAATACAGTCAAAATAACTTCCCTTTAAAGCTGGAATTCTTAGTCTTTTATTCACATGATGAGCATCTGGATGCAACTACGTGACATGTAATAAATAACTGTTTGACTTTGACTCCTAGTCTATTTACACGTTTATAGATTCCAGCATTAAATACATGTAAATCAGATAGCTTGGTGCCAAACGGCAACAGTCAGTCATAGAAAAATAGTTCATTTCTTTAAAAAAGTTCATTCAGAGAAAAGGTCGGCAGTGCACAGCATCGACTAACACATTGCATTGTTACCAAAAGGAGCCAACTGTCTCCATCATGACAACTATCAGTGTCTGAGTGTGACCGTGAGAAAGCAGACAACTCCATTAAGCTTATCACATAAGCAAAGCTGGGGGGCTGTGAAGTTGTAGGGTTTGATATGAGAGGTCCCTGGAGCTCAGACTGACCACAATAACCTTCTGGTCTCATTTGCATAAAAAACACGCTGATCTGAGATCCTTCTGCGCCTAAAACTTTTCATTCAAACAAGACCTGTGCCAAAAATCCACTAATTTAGTCTGAGACGTTCACAATATGTAAACGAGTGAAACGTTTTGAGTGCCGTTTATCCGGACAAGAGAAAACCGGGGATCAAATGAGGGGCAATAGAGCCAAAATGGATGCCAGCAGGGTTAAAACACAATGAGCTGAAGGGAGGGAGGCTCCACTATCGTATTCCTCTATATAGTTGTATTCCCAGAGATCATCGTCATCCTCTCGATCTTGGCTGTCGTCGCCGCTGCCCTCCTCTCTGTCCTGAGAGTCGAAGCACAGAATCTTCATGCTGCTCTTAACAAACTCGCATATGGCCCTCTCCGTGCCGTCACACGTACAAGTGTCCAGCTGCTGACCCTTGGGTATTTTACGCATCTTTGCGATCACATTTCGGCAGGCGTTCGTGCAGACTGCTCCGCTGAAAAGTTTCCCACAATGGTGCAAATAATCGCGCATTGCGGAGTTGCACTGCGGGTCTCTCTCGCACTGGCGGCGAGCTTCAGTGCAGCCAGTGTTGGTAGTCCTGGGGAGACAGGGCTCGATAGCCCGTTTGGTGCTGGCACAAAACGGATCGTGGGCGCAGACGCAGTCTTCTAGATATGGCCCGTTCCTAGTCAGATTGAGCTGGACAAGCGATGAGATGCAGTGGCTGGGACAGTTCTTCCTCTCCCCGCTCAGCACGGGGCCACATGCGCGAATATAGTGTTCGTATGCGTAATTGCACTCAG